ACACCTGCCAATAACCATATGAATAAACTTGCAAGCAGATCCTCCAGCTGTCAAGCTCCCAAATGACTTCAGCCCCAGGTAACATAGTAACTGCACACTACTAAGAGGTCCTGAACCATCACACCCTGCTAACCTGCCTTTGCGTTTCTGATTTTCAGATACTGTGTGAAATGTTATTTCCAGCAGCTAAATTTGGGAGTAATTTGTTATGCTGTCATAAACCACTAATACCAGAGGTGGGGGTAGAGGAATAAGGGAAAGATGTGAAAACAAGAGAATACATCATGAAAGAAAATCATCACAAATGCTGGTATGTTCTGCACCTGAAATATTGCATAAAATGTCTTATTTTAGGGGCACCTGGGTGGTTCATGTCAGTTAAGCATCCGACTTTGGCTCAGGTAACTATCTCACCATCTCACTGCTCATGAGTTCAGGCCCCATGTCGGATTCTGTGCTGACAGCTCAGAGCCTAGAGCCTGCTTCGGATTTTGTCTCTGTCTCTCTCTGCCCCTCCCCCTCCCTTTCTCTCTCAAAAATAAATGTTAAATTTTTTTAAATGTCTTAATTTATAATCTTAAAAATATTTCTCAAGTTAATCATTTAGTGTGTCACGAATAATAAACTTTAAAGGACAAAAGGAGAATATGTCAATCTTAAGAGACAAGAAAGTTGAGTTCACACAAGATATTAAGACAGCTGGAATCAGTTTCATTGGCATTAAAAGTTTTTATTCGGAATTTAATCCACAATCTATACAAGTTATTTACAAGGCATGAAAATGGAAAACAGCACAAAATACGATTGAGGTATAAGCTGAGAGCACAGTATGTCATGTTTCAATAAATATAATTCAAAATTTGTAAACTAAGTGACCAGATAGATGAGTCTTGTTTTATAGTAAAACCATATAAAATATTTATTTCACGTGAGGTAGAGGACAGTTTTGTGTCATGTGATGCAACCAACCACAGCAATTTTAACCATAAAACTGTACATCATTGGCAAAATTTTAAATTGAATTATAGTCAGTATAGTCAACAACTTGTTTCAATAGTTGCAGAACAGGTATTTCATTTACTGCTTTCACAGGTTAGAAATTCAGAAATAATTTAAGACTACTGTGTTGGCTTAAAATCATCAGGATAAGCAAATACTTCTAACAGGATGGTTAAAAGCAAGTGTATTTTATGTTTCCCAAACTATAACTCCCCCCAAAGTTGTCCTAGATTAAGCAATTCTTTTAGCAGGACGTTTTTACTAGAACTACTTTAAGTATGCTGTGCTTTATTTTCAAGTGAGGTATCTATATTGAAGAAAAAATCTTACAAATTTCTTTTACATTCAACTAAATACACTATTTTGTTTTCTGGGCTTAATTTTTAAATTTCAGTTTTTACATTTGATCATTTTCTAATTCAAAAACAGTAGCGCTATATAAGACATTTAAGTCTATTACTAAAGAAAAAGGCTCCAGGTTGCATTATGCAGCTTAGAAGCCATCTAAAATGGAAAGATTTTACAAAAAAATTTAAAAAAAGAAAGAAAAAAAAACTGTCCTTTTAAAAAGACGCAATACAGAATACCCATACAAATTTCTTCCAGTAATGGAAATGCTTCAGTATCCTATAATAGAAAAAAAAAATTTAAGCTGTTTATTCAATCCCACAACGTATAATACAGCAGTAATGTGTCTCTTATTGCTGACAGCTTCAATAAAAATTAACAAGTAGTTCTAAGCACAGAAATAGATGTACAGTATGAGCACAACTTTTCATTATATTGACTTTTAATGTCCTGTCGTGCAGATTAAATGCGTAAGAGCAAATGAAAATGTGGATTTTCCCCTATGCAATCAAAACAGAAGTCATTGAGAAGAAAACATTAGAAGCTGATCAAAAACCTTCAGCATCAGCTTTACAACTAACTTTAGGGAAATATCTTGAACGCACTTCATATTACTCGAGTTTCCTTACCATTCTACTTTCCTTCAAACAGAAGTCATAGATGTGCAAAGAAATTGGTTGTTCGGTCATGACTTCTGAAACATATGGATAACCTGCGAATATCATTGTACTCAATCTATTTCACCTACTTTAGCAACTGGTTTTTAATTCAATATGTACAAATGATTTTATATCTCAATTGGTAATATATTAAATATGTTATAAAATTAGTTCAAGAAGCATAAAACATCCCGACTCTCATGGACACAGAAATTCAAGCAAAACAATATGCTTTACAGAACTAAAGCACAAGCCAAACTTATGTGGTTGGTCAAATCTTTTGATAGTGTTACAAGTTGCATTTGTGAAATCAGGGTGGTTTAGAGCTTCCTCAATGACAGCAGGTTTTACATTTACTACCTTTATAGATTTGGTACCTTTTACTCGTAACATTTAAAGAATAGAAACTATCATCACCCAAATTAAACATCACCCATCACCCAGTAAGCTAATATTCTATCTTTTTTTCCTTAAGATGCTCTAGCACTTTTGCTAGGCCGTTCTTTAATGCAGCTTTTTAAAGTAAATATTTTTATATTTTTCCTAAAAAGAATAATATTACAAAGTCTGAGGAAAAATCTGCTTGTCTAATGAATCGGCACACAAAAACTAACACCAAAACAAACTTTAAGCTAGCAACCAACACACAAAATGAGCATGCAAAGTATAGAAGAATAAGTTTATATGGATAAGGTTATTTCAGCAGAGGCCACTTTTAAAGTATTACAAAATCTATTTTCAAGCTATGTGGTGCAGTTTAACTTAAAATTACTTTTAACTAGAATAGGCATAATATTTACAATTGACTAAAAAGCTATATTTTCAAGGAAGACAGACATAAACCTATGGCACATCAATGTATCTTCTGGAAAATGAAGACTATACAATTTCATGTGGCAAATTTTCCTTATGCAAAGGACTAGAAAAAATATTTCTTTAGTCAATTCAACATCAAGAGTTTATGATAATTTAAAGGTGTTTAAGCACTGCTTAGAATTTTAAAATAAAATATTTCAAATCGCAATTTGTTTTAGAACTTTTGGGTTGAAACTTAAGTAAGCTTGTCATTTACTATGTAACATAAGCACAAAGATTTTTTAATAAATTAGAAAAATGAAATTATAAGGCTTGAGTTTATCTCCCAAAAAGCTTACTGTGACACAACTGAAATGAACTTTATCATAAAATGTCTTCATGATTTTTCTTTCTCCAGATCCAAATAGAAGGTATTAGGAGATTATATCATTTTTAACATTTGCTCCTGTATGTCATTTTAACATTTGTTCCTCCTTGAAGAGACTCCAAGAATCAACAAATTAAATTGCAGGGTTAGTATAGTAAAATTAAATGGAAAATAGAAAATACATATTTAGATCACACTCTTGTAAAGAAACTATACTTTGAGAAGTACAAAAATTCCTTTAGGATATGTAAGTACCATTAAGCAAAATACGAAAATAACTGGCTGAATGATAACCTACTGATTTTTGAAGTTCTATACCAGTAGAGCATCTATCGTCTATGCTGGGAATAGTATATAACCTTAACTCTAGCTGATTTATTTCAAAAATAAATTTAGCTCTCAAGTAATTTCATACAGTACCCTACATGAGAACATAAACATAAAATTACTGGAATAATAATATCAGTAAATGGTAACTTCAGGAAACTTCCTTTAAAAAATGCATACTAAGAACTTTACCTAGTATTTTTTAAGCCAAGAGTTAAAGAATATGAAATTTGCCATTAAAGAATGACAGACTTTTCTGTGCAAAAAAAAAGTGCAGAAGATTTGTCCTCCCCCCAAACTATGGAATTTCTTTGTCTTCTAAAAATTATCTAAAAACCTTTTAGTAGCAGGTAACTAAACTTCTCTATATTAACCTCTCATACACTATCAGGTGACTGTAAATTCCTGATTTTGATATTAAGTAGTAATTGAAAATGGTCCATTCGTGCAAATATTGATAAGACTTAACATTTAAACATACAAAAATCCAAAATAACCTTCAAGGTATTTAATATTTTACAATTTAAGGAAAAATGAACCCATTAAGGAAAACAAATCTATTATATAAATTTCAGTAAGACCCATAACTACATATAAAAACTGTACAGGAGGATTATGGATTGTATACAAACTGATATACATCAATGGTATCAGTTTTTCTCAAGAACATTAATATTTTCACACCTCTATTAACAACATAAACAAAAGTTCAAAAATTATTACATTTTATTCCCTCTTCTAAAGTTGCTACATAAAAAAAAAAAAATTCTAAATACAACCACATTTAACCAAAAAACAAATTACAACCACTTCTTGTGTTTTAACAGCAGCGTATAACAAAGTATGTTATCCTTCCTCATTATGCCTATGGGGTGTGCTATAACCCCATCAATGAAATTCCTCTTTTGACAAAATGTCTCTTAGGAGACATTAAAAAGAAAAGAACTGGTGGAAATTCATTAATATGAACCAAATAAAAGCAAATTTTATATATAATAATGAGTAAAACTGTTATCAATTTAGAAAGGAGATTGTGTTAATGAAAAAAATGGAGATTCAACTCCTTCAATAGCTCTATATATTTGAAATATGAAGTCACTAATGTATGTAAAATTGAGTGTGAAATATGGATAACAAAACTGACCACAACTATCCATCACACAATGCGGCTTTTAAAAAGTGTACAACTGCTAAATTTGCAACAGAATCTAGGCAGATTATCTAACAGTTGAAACCATGTACTACTGTCACTAAGCCAATTGAAAAAAAAAAAGTACAAAGAAACACACATTTTCATTCATTTGGAAAATGTAAAAATTTATGTACTAATATATAATCTCTTCACTTTCTCTGATCTACAAATGGATAGAATGCCTAGTTATCTTCATGCAGACAAGTTATTCAGAATTCAATAATCAAAGCACACACAGAAAGAACAAAAATAAACCCTGTTGGGAAACACAGACGTATCTCTTTAAAGGTTTCTATTCTTTAGCAGTCTTAGATGATTTCAAAATCTGCAGCTTCAGCTCTTTTATCATCATCTCTAACTTCTGTCTTGCCTCCCGTTCCTGTCTGAGTTCATCTTGGAGTTCTTGCCTATCAGCCTCGGCGTGGTCCAATCTCTGTCTCAGTTCTGCCAACTGTGGGATTTAAAAGACTGTGTCAGTTTTCATTCAGTTTTGTTTTTCCATTTAGTCCTCAGATCATGGCAAAGACCTGCTTTCAAATTACTTTTTACAAAATGAACTACTTCATGCATATTACAATCTCTTGATTAATACTATTCGTCTGACTCTGACATAGCACTGAATTGAAAGAAAAACAAAGGGAAGAGAACTAACATAACACCTAGAGCACTTTCATTATGCCCTACACTTTGATATACCTCTCACACAGCCTGCTCATGGTAAGGGTTATTTGATCACCTTCCCCAGTGAGCTACTATTCATTTTTGCTCGAGAGCTTCTGAACATAGTGGGCAACAGTTCATGTCTGTTAATTTGTTGATGTGAAAGCCCATATTCTATATTAAGATAATGTAACATTTGCTATTCAGAAGCTAGTGAGTAGCATTTTGGGCAACTACAGAAACCTAATGAAAGTTTAATAAAGCAATCAAAATAGAAAAATCATTTTGGATGATACAGCTTAAACTTGTGTTTAACAGAATTATCTATTTTTAAATCTTGCCCAATGAAATGAGCTTGATAAAAAGTAACTTCTTTAATAGAGAAGGTAACAACCTCAATTTCCACACTGAAAGGGCAACATTATACAAACTGAGTAATTCTTACCTGTGCTGCATATTCAGCCTCTTTGTCTTTTTCTAAATTTGAATCACAGGTACATTTTTGCTTCATTACCTGCTCTAATTTTTTCTCTAAGTCTTTCTGTTCAATATAAAATTCTTCCATTCTCTGAGCATGTTCATTCTGTAAAGATTCAAGCTCTTTCTGTAAATTCTGCTGCTCTTCAGTGAGTTCCTTCATAGCTTTTGAACTACTCAACATTTCAACTTCCTGTAATATGAAGAATTACAATACAATTTTTATTTTATTTCCATCATGTTAAAAATTTCAATGCAGGAAAAAAAATAGGTCAGAAAACATCTAATATTCAGCTGTCGTATCAGTTTTATATAGAAGTAATTATCTTGAAAACAACTCTAAAAATTTAAAAGAAAATTGCTTATGAGTAACAAAACTCTAAACAATCTTAAACACATTTACAATCTCTTGTTTCTTAAAGATATGCAAAAGCCTGTTTTCACAATAGACTATCATTTAGATTTTACCATCTGAAGTTGTTGCTTCTTCTGCAAAATTGAGTTCAGTTTTTCCTGTTGTTTTACGTAAGTTCTCATTACTTCTTCCATGATTTTTCCCTTATCATCCTCACAAATGATATCTTTGACAAGAAGTGGCGATGAAGCTACAGTATCACGGTCAATTCCTGTCTTGCTTGTGTCTCTGATGAAATTGCAAGTGGTAGACTCGGGTTTCTTTTTACTTGTCGAATTATTTGAGACTGATGGATCTTTGAGAGGAAAAATGAGGTAACAAAAAATGAGCATCGCTGTTAAAAAGTCACTAGAACAACCCACAAGTGAAAAAATTTCATTTACAAATAAAATAAAAATAATAAAATAATAAACTTAAGAAAAGTAGTGCAAGACTTCTACAATGAAAACTACACAATAAAGTATCATTGAAAGAAATTAAAGACCTAAATAAATGAAAAGACACCCCATGTTCATGGACTGGAAGACTTACTACAGTTAAGATGGGGCCATGAACTAAATGTCAGTGACCACAAAATTCAGTATGTTGAAATACTAATGCCCAATGATGGTAATAGGAGGCGGGGGCTTTGGGAGATAATTAGATCATAAGACCTATGATGGAATCTATGCCTTTATAAAAGAGACTCCAGAGACCTCTCCTGCCTTTTCCATCATGTGAGGACTTCCATCATGTATCTGAGCAGAACACAGACATTTATGAAACAGGAAGCAGGGCCCTGCCAGACACCAAATCTGCTGATGCCCTGATCTTGGACTTCCCAGCCTCCAGAAGTATGAAAAATAAATGTTTGTGGTATAAGCCACCCAGTCTGTGGTATTTTTGTTACAGCAGCCTGAACAGACTAAGATAGATGGTAATACTCCCCAAGGGGATCTACTTTTTCAATGCAATTCCTATCAAAATCTCACCTGGCTTGTGGCAAAAATTGACAAGCTGATTCAGAAACTCATATGAAAATGCAAGGAATCCAAAATAGTCAAAACAATCTTGAAAAACAACAAATGTGTAGGACTCACAATGCCCAATTTCAAAGCTTATTACAAAGCTACAGAAAGCAAGACTCTGTACTGGCATAAACACTGAATACAGAAATAAACCCATACTTTCATGGGCCACTGGTATTTGACAAGGGCACCAAAACAACTGAGTCAGGAGGGAACAGTCTTTTCAACAAATAGTGTTGGAACAACTGCATTCATATACAAAGAGTGAGGTTGAACCTCACACTGTATGTAAAAATTAACTCAAAATGGAACAAAATCCTAAATGTAAGAGCTAAAACTTTTATATGCACATCTTTGTGATCTTGAATTTGGCAATGGTTTCTGAGAATAACATCTACATAAGCAATCAAAGACAAAATAAATTGGACTTCATCAGAATTTAAAACTTTTGTGCTTCAAAAAACACCAACAATAAAATGAAAGACAACTGATAGAATGGCAAATCATGTATCTGATATGGGTCTACTATCCAGAATATATAAAGAACACTTACAAGTCAATAGTAAAGAGACAAATAATACAAAGTAAAAATAGGCAAAGGATCTGAAGAGATTCAATAAAACATGGAAAGGTACTCAATATCATTAGTCATTGGAGAACTGCAAATCAAAACCATGATATACCACTTTACAACAACTAGGATGGCTATAATCAAAAGACAACAATAAGTGTTGACAAAGATGTGCAGAAACTGGAAGGAAGCTGCTGGTGAGAAGGAAAATGGTATAGCTGCTTTGCAAAACAGTTTGGCAGTCCCTCAAGATGTTAAATATGATCCAGTAATTTCACTCCTAAATATATACCCAAGAGAAATGAAAAAACATGTCTACATTAAAAATGTGTGCATAAGTGTTGACAGCAGCATTATTCATTATAGCCAAAAAGTGAACACAATTTGGGGTGCCTGGCAGGCTCACTCAGTAGAGCATGAGACTCTTAATCTCAGGGTCATGACTTCAAGCCCCATGTTGGGCATGGAGCCTACTTAAAAAAAAAAAAAAAAAAGGTGGACACAATTCAGTGTCCATCAACTGATGAGTGGACAAGCCAAATGTGGTATATTTATCTATACAACAGAGTATTATTAAACCATAAAAAGAAAACAAGTACTAAAATATCCTACAACGACTGAGAAAATATTATGCAAAGTGAGAAGTCAGACAATAAAAGCTCACACAATATATGATCTCTTTTATATGATGTGCCCAGAATAAGCAAATCTATAAAAACAGAAAATAAATAGAGGCTGGAGAAAGAGGAAAATGAGGAGTAACTTCTAATGGATTACACGGTTTCTTTTGGGGGTGAGAAAATGTCCTGAAATTAAATAGGTGTATTGATGAACAACTTTATGAATTTACTGAAGGTCACAAAACTGTACACTTTAAAAAGGTATATTTTATGGTACATGAACTATATCCCAACAATTTTTTACAAGTCACTAGAATTAATTTGGGAGATATACTGCAAATAAGACTTACTAGTATGTTACCGGTTATTATTTACCATATTTAAATCCAAAGAAAGCTGAATTTTAAAAATCTCAAAATTAAAGTATAGAAACCCCCTTGACCCCAAGAATCTTCAACTACTTCAGGAAAGCTGCAACAACTATCACACTTTGCCTAAGCTGTAAGCAAAGCTCTGCTGCTATAAAGAGGATAAAAGAAGCAGCATTTGTACAGATATGTCTTGTTTGGTCCACGGCACTTTAAAAGCCACTGTAATCGGCAGCTCTTTTATTTTTTTAAGATGTCCAGCCAGCATTCTGCTTTTATGCCATCTGCTTGGCTCTCACTCACAGCTATGAGTTTTCACTCCTTGCTTATCCCATGACTAAGTTTCCCTGAGTCCTACACCTCACTACTCTTACGTACTAAGTCTTAGCATTAGTAAATGGTTTCTCCATTCACAGCAAATTAAAAAGGACCTTCTGAAAAAAAAACTGACAGGAAAAAAAAAAAAGGCAGGAAAGGAAAAAAAAAAGTCATACAAAAATCACCCACAGTATGAAACCATGTAATCCACATATCTGTATCTTTAGCCGCGATAGCTATCACCGTGCTAAAAAAAAAAAACTCAGAGTTTTGAAAGGTACATTTTTTTTCAAGATAAAAGCTTCAATTATCTGGAACATTCTCTTACCTAGAAATCTTCTTTGAAAATGCTGAAAAAACAGAATAATTAGATATTTGATTTCAAAAAATAATTTCTGAATACTTACCTACACGGCTACATAATTCTTTACTTGTTTTCAAATCCATTTTCTCCTGTTCCTCCAGTGAGACATCTGGATACGATACCACTTTTTGATGTTTCCCACTACTATGAGGCTTCTCTGATGGTCTTGGTACGGTCCTACTTGTCTCTGTCTTTGTGACCTCTTTAGACTGGGATACAGCAGAAGTAAGCGACACATTTGGTGCAACCACTTTATCACACATGTATAAGTAGTAGCTACAGACGGAGAAAGGCAAAATAAGACACATATTCACTTGGGTAAAAAAGCATTAAATCTATTTCTATCATTAAAAAATTTTACATTAAAACAGACAACATAACAACTCAGAAAATAAGGGTCACAGAAAAGAATTCCTTAAAAATTCAGTACTTTAGGCAGTAAGTGCAAAATTATGAGTAATTTTCGTTATTTTGCAAAAAGTAATCTCTAAGCACTGAGAGATACCTACAAGGAAAGAAAATTAGTCTCATCTCCTTCCCTCAAAACCACCTGAGAATTAAAGGCATCAAGCACTTTTAGAGCTATTTAATAGCCCTAAATAGGTAAGGCTTATGCTAGAAAGAAAACAGACCATATACTACTTGGAGAACCATTTTCTTGCCTGCCACCCGTCCAAAGCAAGGAATCCTTGCTCTGTTATAGAAAGGCTGATTCAGTTCCACACTATAAGGCTAGAGCCAGATTCACCGCAGGCCCAATCAGGAGCTCCCAGGGCCCGTCTTCTATAGCAGTCTGAACACCGCTACTGGGCAACAAGTCCTACTTGTTTCAAACCCCACAGAGCGATCTTCCTAAAATACTTCAGTACTTCCTAATTTGATAAAAATTCAATAGTAAGTTGCACAAAACTAAGATTGAAGGCATGACTACCAATTTTGCTCAAAGCTCACATAAAATTTTCTGCAGATTACCTGAGAGACCATGGAACAAACTGGAGCTAGATATTGAAGTACCATACTATTAACTATAATCTGCATAACTTTAGCCAAAAGATGCAACCATTTAACTAACATAATACTTCATTCCCTAAATGCTAATGATCTCTTCTTACATCTGATTTTCTTTACGCAGTAATCTACATTGTTCCTCTTTACCAATCACATGAATTCTGCAGATGAAAACTCAGTATTCTGCTAAGAAAACGGACAGGTTTAATAATATCCAAAGAGTTACTTCAACACAATAGGAATGGTAGGAACTGTGCAAATGTAAGTAAGACTGAGATTCTTCATCACCGTGTTTGGGGAGGGGGGGGAAATATATATTTACAGCAATAAAAATCTAGGAATCGACAAATAAAAAATTTATAATCTAAGGTGGATTTTTATCGAAAACGTGAACACTGGATTTTGAGGGATATGGTTACTATGAAAACTTCTTAATTTCAAAAAATTTCCTTGTAAAATATCAAAGTTGCATACCAAACTCTTGAAGAGTTGGTTTACCTCTTAAAAGGAAGGAAATTAAAGGAAAATTTTCAATGTTTACTTCAGGGTGAAAAGGAAATGATGATTTCCTAGAAAGAACATACACACCAAGAAAAGGTTATCTCAAATATTCAACACAATTTACAATTCATTTATTAACAAGCCTAAAAGTAAATAATGAATTAGCAGAGTCTAGAACAGTACCTGACACATAGATGTTGAAGGAATGAATGAATGAATGAATGAATGAACAAACGAACAAACAAATGAGCCAATACCCACTCACCTGGGGTGTAAAAATGAATGTGTCTGCGAAACATGGTCACCTTCCTGCTTTATAACAGGGTACCATGACTGTAATTCCATTCCTGATGATGTATCTATCTGTAGAAAAATGTAGAAGGGAAAAAGTTCATTGAAGGAAGATGTGATGGTTAATTTTATGTGTCAACCAGATAGGGCCATAGGATATCTCTGGAGAACCCTAGTAAGAGTTACATTATTTAAGAGTCATCTTCTAACAAGGCAGTCTGTCCTTAAAGTACCAAATCTAGTCACTCAAAACAACATCAACCATCCTTTCAAAAAATAGTTTCAGGGGCACCTGGGTGGCTCAGTCGGTTGAGTGTCCGACTTCAGCTCAGGTCATGATCTCACAGCTCATGAGTTCGAGCCCCGTGTCGGGCTCTGA